AAATTCTCTTAACATTCGTCAAATTTCTTCGTATTACATTAATTTTCAGAATTCGGAAATTTGTATTTGAAATTCTTCAATTTTTTTTGAATATATTTTATTAAATAAATTACATATTAAATAAATTACTATATATAAAATTGTTTGTAATAATTGTGATGATCAGTGAAATTAAATATATTTGAATTATTTCGAATATTTATTTTTTAAAAATCTTCGCAGAATTTCGTTATTTGTTTTTTTATAATCTTCGTAGAATTTCATTATTTATTTTTTAAAAATTTTCGCAGAATTTTGTTTCTTGAAATTCTGCGCAGTTTTTGATGAATTTTTTTTTCCAAAGACTACCGACAGGGTCGCAGATCTGCGCAAAAATGTCACTTGCAGATCTGCGCAGATCTGCATCCCAAAAAATTTCCCAATGAATTTAACCAGTTTTTTTGGTAAATTTCTGATAAAACTGGTAAAATCTTATAATCCCAGAATTGTTCCGGTCATAGTGTAGCAAATTTCCAGAATATTTTGTAAATACCGGAAATTTCATTTAATAAATTTATATCGCAAAAAAGTTTTTTATCTTTAATTTTATTATTTATTATTTCAGTAGTTTATTACAATATAATTATTTAAAGCCAGTATATCTTTTCATATTGTATATGCACAAATAAAAAAAAAGATAAAAGATTATTATATATTTGGTAATACTATCTAAAACTGGAATTATTTTTAATTCCGGTCATATGTACCGGTTGAAAAAATAAATTTCTGGAATTTTTATATTTAACTGGAATTTTTCTGAAATTTTTCCAAGGTTTTTTTCCACACTGGTCTCTATTATTATGACTATTCTACCTGTATTCAGATAACTCTATTCACTCTATTCTTACACCTTTAGGGTGTAAAACATTTAAATTAATTCAAAACTGGAACACCTGTAAGTTAATTATTTACTATAAATCATAAGCTGACTTTGAAAATGTTATTGATAAGTCATTTAACTTGAAAGAATTTACTGTGATTGGCTGAGATACTTTACCCTTAATTTGAAACAAAAAAGAAGATACCATCAGAAGGTAAATCAAGAAGATGACTCCAAAATTCAATTAATAATTATTAACTCTCAGCCAAGTAAAAAGCAAATAAAGGTGACTAAAAAAATTAAGAAGATTGATAAAGTCTTAGACGGTATTGACAAGCTTACAGTATTAACAGAAATAAGATCAATGCTAAAAAAATTAGAAGTATCTTAATAAGTTCAAAAGAATATTCAGATAGTCTTAATTTTAGAAGTATAGTTATTGCAAGGTGGCTTTGTTACTGGCTGTTTGCTTATTTTTACATTTTGTTTTTTTGTTTTTGTATTTGTACATGGGATTCCTTTTTTTTGTTTTTTTTCCTATGTCTATTTTCTTTGATGTAGCGGTATATTTATACCAAGTTTATCAATGCATTCTCATTGCACAGCAGGATGGAGGGCCAATTTTTATATTTTTGTATAAAGCAAAGTATTCCATTTTAATAAACTCTAAATTTAAAAAAAAATAGATATTACATTTTATAAATATAAAATATAATTAGAAATTTTAAATAAATTTAATTTTAAAGTTGAAATAATTTCAATACCTATTATCAATACTGTTATTCAAGTTATAAGCTTTATTTTAATAAAAAGCACTAA